CAGAATTTGTGTCTGCTGTGCGGTGAAAGTGTTGATTAGAGCAAATGTCTGACAGCTCCAATGCCGGATCCAATTTGTTACACTGACAGAGGCCTGTGAGAGAAATCAAATTAATGATGCAATGGAAACATTTTAAACAACAATTTTTTGACAGTAAAATATTCATAACACCCCGCCCCCATTTAATATCTTCAAATTTTGTTAACCTGAACCAATCAGAAAGCCAATTTTTTGTACCATGCAAAACCACAATTTCTTTCTTTAATGTCAAATTATTGAATGCTATTGTCTATTGTAACCAAACTGTTGTCAATTATAGGACACCCTTGAAAATGTGATGTGACCTCTGCCTCCTGAAAAAATACACAAATCATTGTAATTTATTTTTAGCTAATGTGTAATGTTCATTCCAGAAAAATCTATAACACATACAAGAGAAGGAAACAGCGACTGAGCAATGCCTTTGTTACCAGAATATTTTGGCCTATTTTAGAGTATTTTAGATACTTTCTCCATTTGCAGAATAAGACATCAGCATTTTGCCACAGGGAAAGCACTGTTCCATAACCCTCGAACGCAAATTATATTACAATAATCACGCTAAAGTATTTCAGACTGCCAAAACAGAGGGTTAGTTCCATATAGCTAGTTGTCCATTTCACGGCTGAAGACTTTCCCTCAGGAAGTGAGTCATGAGCATTCTGCATGTCTCCAGGCTGTGACTAAGACTTTGGTCATGACCTTCCTGACATTGACTGCTCCCTTACAAAGGAACCTGTCATGGAGTCATGGGGTCAACTATAAAACTGATTTACGTACAGAGCGCTAACACAACAGCAGTGCGCTAGCACAACAACAGTGCGCTAACACAACAGGAGTCCATCACCGTGACGGCAAACAATCAGGAGGGAACGAGAATGGAAATAAGGCAGGAAGGCAGAGAGGAAGAATAAACAGAGAAAGAGAGAGAGGGAGGGAAAGAGAGAGTGAGAGAGAGAGAAAGAGACTGTTTCCCTTTCCCCACCCTCCGTTCAGACACTGCACCCGCCATGTAGCAAGTTTCTGGACCAGAACTGTCACAGAAGTCTGGATGAGCTCCTGAAACAATATGGCCGCCGCAGTGCCAGTGGCAATATCAGATTGGAGAGGATAAGCTGCAGCGTCCCCACAGAGTTTATTTTCTCGCTCCCTGATGGTTTTGTAGTGTCGTTGTACAGCTCCCACTGTGACTGTGTCTGCTGCTCAATACACAACCATCCCTCCCTCCCTCCCTCCATCCCTCCTATCTACAGTGAGGTCTCTAAGTATTTGGACAGCAACACAATTTTAAAGGGGCGAAATTCCTGCATGGTTCATTCCATACGTACATACCCTGTCATTTAAGTTCACTTTAATTTGGGGATATCCATATTCAGAGGGAGTTAACCATACAGTATTACATCGCTTTATAACTGTCATTGTCTAAATATCTCACTGAATTTTTGCAGACTTCATTGAATTTTCACTTTACAACTGGTTGTTTAACCCATGTATGATCTCCTGACACACAAGGACTTTGCCGTTAATGTCTCATGTATAATTTGCACTCTGCCCGTCAGTCAATGATAATAATCGTATTTCTAATCTCCATATTTTTCTGTTTCTGAATTAGTTTGCAGCACAAAACAGCACAGCCCGTTTTATTCCACTGGAATAATGCAGGTGACCCTTTCCCTTTGGCAGGAATGACTGAGGTTTGAAAAAAAAAAAAAAAAAAAACATCAGATACATAAGATGGCAGCTCACCTGGCCCTGAACCCCAAAATCTAATCAGTTGCACGGAAGATGCTTTTGGCAGACGATAGTTTCGCCCCCACTCGACTGCATTCAAACAGATCAGAGAAGCATTGCATTACAACACTTCATTAATTTCCACGGTATCTTAACCACGCACACCTTCTGTCTATGTGGCTGTTGGCACGTTTAGAAAGATTTTTGCCAGAGCTTCAAAACCTTGACAATCCAAATTGATTGCACTATCAGAGCCCAGTCCAATTAGAACTCACTAAGCCGATGAAATCAGTTATTAAAAAGAAAATAACGTTTGGCTGTCATGCTACATGTAGGTAGGGTATGTTATCCTCTGCATTTCTACTGATCCAGAAATGAAAAAAGTCACATAGAAAACTACAATGAGAAATGTATAAGGCAATTGCAGGCTGCCTGACACCCATTGTGAATTAAATTCACAGGACATATACCCTCCCTGATTGGAAATCCATCAGCTGTAATGGAAAGTATTGATCACCATGAATGTAATACTGACCTCTACCTATTTAAACCAACATCCAATTATTTACTCAATGCCTTTTACTTCACAAAACCAAAAAAGGTCAGCACGGAAAGGTCAAATATCTGATTTTTCTTTCTTCAAGACTTGCTCATATTTACGAATAAGACAGCTTTAGTGTGAAAGGCCACCGCACTGAAAAACTAATAAATAATTGAAACTCTGAGAGTAAAAGTACTTTAGTCTCATAGTATCTAGATTTAAAATCTTACTTAGACTGTTTGTTTATTGAATAAAACAAAAGGTCACCTAAGAGGTGAGGCTAGTTTGACACATTTCAAGATCTGTCAATAAAATAAGACAATGTAACTTTAAACAAGCTAAAACACAAAAAAATCAGTTATTTTTCAGTCATTAAATTACTGAAACACACATGATATTTCACACGTTTTTGAGAAACAAAATGTTGCATTAGCAGTGGACTTTTCTCACCAAGCAATGGTGACTCAAATCATTTTACAGCAATGTGAGGAATCTTGCTTCAATCTTAGCCAAACAATGCGAGGCACCCACCTGAGCAATACACAGCAGCCATTTTGTACCTGAAAGCTCACCAAACTGAAATGGAGAGGACTGCTTTTGCACAATATATGGACTCAGTCACACAACTTATGGGCAAAACGTCCATAGGTGGAGGTTGACATGGTGTGTGTGTGTGTGTGTGTGTGTGTGTGTGCGTATGTGTGTATGTGCGCACATGTTCTTTTACTTGCTACATGTGATTACCGCAAGATGTTTTTTGTTTCTTTCCCCCACAAAGTGAGGACATTTTTGGAAAGACGGGTCATTTTGGCCAGTCCTCACAAACACGGGTGAACTGTGACTTATTGGTCAAAGTTTGGGTCAAGGTCACAAGTAGAGTTGGGTTAATGTTAGGGTAAGAGTTTTGATGAGGCATGTGTTGGTTATGGTAAAAATAAGGTAAAGGCTCAAGAAACATACAAAGACTGAATGGAAGTCAATGTAATGTCCTCACAAGGATAGAAGGGATGTATGTGTGTGTGACTGAACCGAGGATGATCCTGTGGTTATAGCAGAACCTGGAACCCCAAGTGAGACACTACACCCAGTCTTCTGGGATGTCTTACCTCAAATGTTCCACTAAAATCCCATGTGAACAGATGGGTTACGCTACAATTAAGCTGCAAATTAATTAAGCATCACCAAGTTTCCCCCAATCAGCACGAGCTCAAAGGCAACAACACAATGCAAAATATGACTAAGCGATTCAAGGACGACAGTCACATAATGATCAGATATTTTTCTAAACTGATCAGAAAAGTCAGTGCAAAAAGAGCTTCTATTAGTAAGTTAAGGCATGTTTGAAAAGAAAAGTGCGAAATGGAAAATTTCTGAGATGTACTGATTTCAAATGCGTGTAATCATTGATTTAGAATCAGATATTATGCCATGAACACGCAAATGACAGGATGGGGTTAACCCCCTCTACTTCCTGTCTGCAGTGCAGGCTGAAACATGTTGGAACATGTTCAGTACAGTTACTTTAATTAGGCTTTCCTAGTTACCAGCCTTCATTTCCCCGTCTGGCAACAACCCTGTGAGAACAATAAACGTGTCCCATGACGTCTGCTAAGAAAACACTTGAAAACTCATCCACCAAAACGGCATGCGACAACACTGCTAACAAAACATGAAGCTCTCATATGGAGTTACAGAAAGGAGCCAGCTTACAGAATATAAACATTTCTATTTTTATATATCATAAACACATTTGTGATTCACTGTCCAACACAAAAGTAGAGTTGCGATCCTTTGAATCATGAAGACATCATCACAAGTGGCATCCTTGTGAAGTACGTCCATAACACACACCGACCATCAGTGCAAAATGCACGTACTGCTCGTACAAACTCACAATACCTGTTCTCACTGCATTTGCACTATATGGGTAGAGTGTGCGGACACTTCACTGAAACCTCATCGCCATACTTCAAAAATAGGTACTCGATGAGTATATGTGTCTACTGCGGATTGGTAGTTCACTGCCGGCTAAGAAGCTTTACTCATGAGTTTACGGACTTACGCTTATAACTCGATAGCATAGCACACATGTAGCCGGCACGAAAACAAACATTTTTGAAATTGTAAATATCTGACATTTGAATTTGGAATGAATTAGTCCATATGGCCAGACAGAACTGACATACAGCTTCTACTTGAGGGTTGCAATTCAAATCTGTTTTACCATCCAGATTTTGTAGCACTTTGTATACCCCACTCACCCCCTCCCATATTGAGGGCTCCATTGAAACTAGTTGGACTTGCGAAGGGGAGGGGGGCATGTACTTAAAGGGCAACCAGAATTGTATGAAAATGCCCTCAAGCGTAAATTCTGTCCAACCAGACTGTCGAGACCAAATCATCAATCCATCCATTATCTAAACCGCTTCATACTCACTAAGGCTGCAAGGCAGCTGGAGCCTCTCCCAGCTAACTATGGCCCAAAGGCAAGGACACATCCTGGAAAGCTCGCCAATCCATCTCAGTGTGCACACATCATTCACACACACACACACACACACACACACACACACACACACACGGGCAATTTAGAGTTTCCAGGTAGCCTGGCTTGTCTGTCTTTAGACTGCCGAAGTACCTGGAGGAAACCAATGCAAACACGAGGAGAACATGCAAACTCCACACAGAAAGGCTCCAGGTCGGATTCGAACCCACAAATTTCCTGCTGAGAGGCAGAAGTGTTACCCTCTGCACCGCCGAGCCACCGTGGTGCCCCTGACCAATTAAATCCAAAATTAAATTAAAATTTCAGATACTCAGAATTCAAAAATGTATGTCAATGAGGCTAAGTGTAAAGTGTCCACACACTTTTGACTATATTGCCGATTCAGCTGATGCTAAATTCTACCCTGTGTCATGTAGACTTAGCAGAGGCCATGGAATAACGCATGGTCATTGACCTTGATCAAGGGCCTAATATCTATTGTGTTATCGTGATTAAACTGGGACTTGAACCACAATGTCCTGAGCCCCACTCAGACACCTCAGTCCAGGCCAGGGGCCCTCAACCTAACCCAGAGAACTGAACACAAGCACAGCTAACCTCCTTATCAAGGGCTTTTTAAAAAAGGCAAAGACTCTAGGGGCTGATTAGCACAATCAGATGCGTGGATACACGACTGGAATAAAAGCCGGCACCCACACGGGCCCTTTCAAGATAAGGTCGAGAACCCCCGCCTCAAGCTGCAGGCCACAGGCCGCCCTCGTATCCTAAGCCACTGTCCGCGAATGAATTTGTCAGCTGCTAAATCAGGAATAGTGTGGGCCTGTCCGCGCTGCTTTGCGTTTGAGTGACTGATAATTGGCCTAACTTTAGTGTGCCGCGCCAGTGGGCCTCTAATGAGGAGGCTGTGCATGCTTTATCAAAGCCTTTCTCGCCGGCCTGCTAATGAACACAGAGCAAAACCTGGCTGGATGGCCTGAGCCAAGAGCGGTCGCTCGCGAAGATTACATCACCGCCACCTCTCATCTCTGAGCATGGCGGCGAGGCTTTTATGTTCTATTTTTAATCTGGGCTCATCTTGACCTGCAAGCTTTCTACTGACAAACAACATTTCAATATGTGTTGAACGTAATAATGAATAAGTGCAATATGTACAGCCCACCATCTGCAAAGTTGAGTACAATAAAATCATCTTGCAAGTATAACTTGATTTATAATGAGTTGTTCATATGGTCAGATCCATTGGACAGCAGCACTATTCTATGCAGCTCTAACTCCCATTCTGTTCAGTGGATTTGGATGTGAATGTCTTCAAATTAAAAGTGACTGTCTTTACTTTAACTTGAGGGTACCATACTTATGGAGTGAACCGTGCAGAAATTAGATTACGTGACCATAACCTCTCATCTGAGACTTCGGCAAAGCTTTTATGTTCTATTTCCATCTGAGTTCATCTCGACCTGCAAGCTTACCACTGATGAATAATGTCAGAGGAAAAAGGTCTCAATGTACAATGAGTGCAATTACTAATAAGTACAAATACAGCCTAGCATATGCAACTTGAAGACGCTGTAAATCTTATTAGGTTGCAGATAGAACTACTGAACCAAGGTCTTCTTGTTCATTTTAGTAAGGTTTATTTAACCTATAGATTTGACTAAGACATGCATGAAAGATCTGCTCCAGTCAGCAGTCATTCATCGATACAGAACATGAAAACATACAGCAGGGACAATACAATGCATTTTAAACAATGTAGACAACAAATTTGATCAATAAAAACACATTCCAGTCCCTTTATTCTCCATAAAAGGTATTCAAAAACATTTCATACGACTTTATTTGACAGAGGCAAGCTTGCAGGTGAGATGAATTCAGAAAGAAACAGAACATAAAAGCCTCGCCGCACTTTAAGATAAGAGGTCGTGGCCACGTAATCTAGTCCCTCCATGGTTCACTCAATAAGAATGGCAATGCAACATACATAAGTATTTGGACACAGACCTAATTTTAAAGGGCTGTAATCCTGATGCAGTTCTCCTCATACAGGCATATGTATATAACCTCAATTTAATAATGCAGACCGTCAGGTGTACTTCACAACTAGATAACTGCCTAAATACTTACAGACCACACAGTACATGATCTATTGCTCTGACTGCAAATAATTATTTCTTCTTCATTCTCTTCATCCTCTTTTTTGTAACTGTCTTCTTCTCAGTAAACCACAATGTGTGTCACGTTCTATTTAAGGACGCACATTAAGCTGAGTACTAGTGACCACCACGACATTTTGGATAATATTCTGTAGACTGATGAATCAAAGTGGAACTTTCTGGAAGACATGGGCCCCATAACGTCTGGTGTAAAGCCAACACAGCATTCCACAATACCAACATCATACCAAGAGTCAAACATGGTGGTGGTAGAGTGATGGCCTGCATTGCTGCTTCTGGACCTGGGCAACTTGCCATAATCCATGACCCCATGAATTCCTAGCTTTACCGGATAATTCTGAAGGAGAATGTTCAGCCATCAGTTTGTGACCCAAAGCTCAGTTGCATTTAGCAGTAGGACGTTGATCTGAAGTGCACAAGCAAGTCCATCTCTGAATGGCTCAAAAGAAACTAAATGAAGGTTTTTGAGTAGCCTAGCTGACGTCCTGACTTAAATCCAATTAAGATGCTGTGTGACCTTAAAAACCCTCCACTGTGGCTGAATTAAAACAATTGTGCAAAGATGACCGGGCCAGATTTCCCCCACAGCGATGTAAAAGACTCTTTGCCAGTTATTGCAAATGTTTTATTGCAGCTGTTGCTGCCAAGGGTGGCACAACCAGTTATTCCGCATGGGTAATATAGGCTTTCTACCATCAATACACGATAATTTAAAAGCTGCATTTTGTGTTTACTCACATTGTCTTTGTCTTCTATTTAAATAAGTTGGATGATCTGAAACATTTAAACATGACCAATAAGCAAAAAGAAGGAACAGGGAAGGAGCAAACACTTTTTTCTCAGCAGTAAACAAACATAAATGTATCATAAGGAAGAATGAGAAGATTTGATTTTATTTAACTAAATCCACCGCTGAGTTCAGATGTAATATCTACCAATAGCATCTTCTCCCAATGAATTAGTGAGTAGCATTTGGTGAGGTATGTCACTGGATGTTTCACTAGACTGAAGTGTCTCTTTCCAGTTTTATCTTGGAAATATCCCCTGTGACTGTTTGCATAATTTTACATTTAAACCAGACTGTTCTGCCCAAAAAACAGTCAAATGTGCACCTTCAGTTCCAATCCCATTCAAATCATTTCTTCGGGATGCTAGTCAAAGCACCCACGACATATGCACACACACAGACAAGCCCACATGTACAACACAAATACACAGGCCTATATACCCACACACGCACAAATGAAACCCTTTATATGTTTCTGTCGGCACTGAAAGCTGATGAGCCGAAATTTTAGGCAGCAGCAAACATCCTCTTCAGCTGATCATTTTTAAATTGCATTCCTTGATTAACAGTATGTTTAAGTAGTTTAGTTATTAATATTATCAAGTATAACGGATTCTCCGCAATTAGGTAAGATGAAAAACAAACTATTATAAAACTGTTAACTTTTCATTTAATGTTATTCAACCTTATTCAAAATTGTGGACAAATGAAGCAGTTGTTTCTTTAATTTGTTTTTATTTTAGCGAGCACGAAGAGCAGGTAAGGTAATCTCCATTAAAAGATTTGTCAGAAGCCACCCTGGACATTAGCAGAGTGGTTCATTGTTTAGTTAAGAATAACAATCGAACAAAATATTTTTTTTATCGCCCAGCTGTTCACATTGTGGTGGGAAAAATATCCCAAAATGTTCTAAATTCAGAGTATTACTACTTGTATAATCACAGTTCAACAGAGAGAACTCAGCCAGGTTCTTGTGGTCCCTTAAAACTGTTGTAAGAATGTGGAGCTGAGAAGAAACAATAACTCATAAATCTGCCAAAAACCAAGATAACAAAGCCCCCAGCAAGCCAACCAAGGCTGGCTAGATGAGCTAATCTTCAGGAATGACCATATTGGTAGTCAACCAATAAGCAGCTTCATTATATGAGCCGGCTCACTCCAGTTTATTCTGGAAATATCCAGGAATCCAGCCAACTTGGGCATCCACACTGACCTTCAAGTAAACCCTAGGTTTGGGAAGATCAGATACGGTCTTCGAGCGACCCTGGAGGCCGAAAATGAATATACATTATTACGTATATAATGGCAAGCTTGTAACTGAGGGTGGAGTGTTGCTATATGACAATGAACCAATCAGAAAGTAATAATGATAAGGTAGAAAGAGTCAGGTTTAATCCCACCCAAAGGGATGTCCCAAAAGGCTAAAAATGTGAGGGTTCGGACAATCGGTGGTCAGTCGGCGTGGGGTGATTGATGAAGAATGAATGCTACGTGGTTTGCGCAGACCAGCCAGGGTTTTTGTGTTTCATCTGGATTGACTTACAGCAAACCCAATCGCATCAGACTCTGGAGAATGTGTCCATTTTTTGGAGATAGATTTACAAGGGTCAGTGGAACACTTTATCCACTTGCTCGGATGAAGTTTTTTCCTAAGACAACATCCAAATGGATTATTCAACTCTTTGGAAAACTTTTCAATAACATATAACGACTGAAAACTTGTCAATACAAAATATCAGCTGAAAAGGACATTTTCTACGTCCTCAATTTTTAGCTCAGAAGTCACCAGCAATGTGGGTTATAGTAACCATTGTACGCAAATCAAATACAGCACATACTGAATAACAAAAGAAATGAAAAAAAAACATTATTTTCCATGGAAAAAAATTATGTTTTCACAATTACATGTGATTTTGAAGTATTTGAATACATTAAAATAAAATAAGTGAAACCAAACGTCGCCAGCCATTTAAAACATCTTAATAAACATCGAGAGTATTGAAAGTGACTGAGCCCAAGACTTGACTGGCTATTTGTCCTATTTGGACTGCCTTATTTTATGTTCAGTAATTCATGCAATGAAATCCATAAGTATTGGAACAGTCATACAAATTTATTCCTGCACAGTTCACTCCATATGCATGTACAAATGCCCTCTAATAAAAGCTAACTTTTATTAGGACACATCTATTTGTTGCGAGCTGTATAGGAATCACCGCCCTCTAAAACTGAGCAATTGATCAAGTGCATGAAAACCACACTACATATGTCACCCAAAGCCATTGCTCAAGCTACT